AGACATAAGAGCACAATGCAGAGCAAAAAGGCTGAATAGTTAAGACCTTTATTGCAATACGAAATGCATTCATTATGGGGGATAAAAGAAAAACGAATACTATCGCGATATTTGCTGTATATCAACTATAAGAAAACAAAATTTTGGTTGATGATATAATGAAAGACAAAGGAACCAGAACAAGACGAAGGGAAATAATGTAAGTCAAAACAAAATTGCTGTGTCGTTAGTAGCGGTACTACTAGGCTATCCGGAAGTAAAAAGGAGTCAGGATCAGGAACGAGCATGAAGGACAAGGATAGAGAGATGACCAAAGCTATTAACGCTGAATTTTCCGATGACGATGAAGAAGATGATGATAACAAAAGTAATTGGGATGATGATGATAAGGTAACTTCATAGGGCTGATAATATTTGCTCTTATTATCTATATGCATATTGTGTGCTAATAATGGCAATACTTACTGTAATATTTACCGACATTAATTCAGCCGCATGAACGCGACGATGAAGAAGAAGAGGAAGAGGAAGAGAAAAAGAAAAAAGATGAAAAAAGAAAGAAAGAAAAACAAGATCGGGAAAGACAAAACACCGAAGATGAGGAAGAGAAAGAAGACGAAGTAAAAGAAGATGAAGATGATCGAAAACATGAGGTGAGACCAATTAAAATAAATTTTGTTAATTGAATTAACCCGTTACGGTGAACATTTGTCATGCGTATATTTTTAGGATGATGAGGACGATGGGGATGATGAAGAAAGAGATGAAAATGATAAAACAGATCATGGTAGAACTACTGGTTCAGAAGAGTTACCTAGTAGAAGAGATGGGAGAAAATTTATTAAATTAACTTGTCCACATTGTGCTCATCGTAGTGTTACTTTCAAAGAATACTCGCTACATTTATATTCGGGCCGTCACAGTGCAGCAATGAGACGAATCGCATCACGGCACAAAGCAACTTTGACTCGTATGCGTGTCTTGCAACGACAAGAACAACGACGTGTCGAGGCCCGAGATGCTGCGCGTGGTACTTTGCCTTCTCGTACCATGTTCTGTCCGATCTGTAAACTTAATTATCGTTCTCTTAAAGCAATACATCAGCTATCAGATTCCCATCGTCAAATGAAACGATTTCTCACACCATTTTGCCGCACCTGTCGTATTCAATTTCGATCACCAATGCTATTTGAAACTCATATGTGTTCTTTGGATCACATTAAGGTACTATTCCTATTGCGATATTAAAGTTTTTGGAGTTTTAATATATTTTATGTCTGTGTATCTTTCAGAGGAAAAGTGCATTGAAAGAAAGAATGAACGCTGGCAATGGTGAGGCGGAAGCGAATTCAAGTGGACCTGAAGAAGATGACAAGGAAGTTAATCTTGATAACTTTATGACTCTGGATTCTGTAGGTGATGTTGACGGTACGTACGATTATTGAACGTTACATTTTTCTTTCTCTAATAAATATTACTTCGATAACAATTACTAGATAAACATAATTTACAGCAGAAGATGAAGAGTCTCCCGAGAAAAAAAAAGAAAAACCAGAAAATGAAGGCACAAACGACACAGAAAAGAAACCTAAAAGTAAACAAATGATTAAAGTGGGAGCAGAATACATAAAACGTGTCGAAGTGCAATTTTGTGAATTGTGTAAGACATATCTACCACGTAGTGAAAATAGTGAAAGAGCAATAGCGCTCCATTGTTCAACCAGAAGTCATCTTAAACGGTATACTTTTAAAATAATGATTTCATAAAATTTTTGCTTTTATGTATACAATTGTTGATCTAAATATAATATATTATGCAGATATGTGCGCGATAATGATGATAAAGCATTGCGAAGGCAAGCAGAAAGAATCCATCTGCAATCATCGTCATCTACCAATAATACTTCTACTCCAAATGCTGTAAATAGTACAGAAAATGCTAAATCTCCAACTAATTCTGAACCACCATCTACAAATAACACATTGCCAGTAACTACAACTGATGGCACTAATACTGCTGAGTCAGGTAAAACAATTGAGCAAAAAGGGGTTGTTGAATCTGAGAAAAATACGAAAGAGAATAAAAATGGACAAGCAGAAGAAGATGATGATGATGATTACCCCGGCGATAGTGGCGATAAGTTATGGGATGATGTTGATAAAGACTTGGGCGATATTTTAAGAGAAACAGAAGTAGGAGGTAAATCTAGCGATGATGAAGATTCTCGTTATGATCGTTTCCGTAATTCAGATAAGAAACAACAACATTCTGGCAAGGATAAAGAAAGGGACAATGAAAAGAACGAAATAGATGAAAAAGAAAATACAAAAAAGCAAGAGCTGAAAGTAAAAATTGAAAAAATAGATATGTAAAGTTCAAGAATTATTAGTACGTTTCAACCATATCCTAATGTGACATTAACATTTTTTCTACAAAACTGTGTAAAACTTTACAAACTATAGAAAATATACATACGTCTGAATTTCATACAAAAGTTATTTTTATAAGATTAAACAGTTATTTTCCGGATCAAATTGATAAAAACCCATGTACAATACTATATTTTGTTCTGTATAAGTTTATTGTATAAAAAGTTGTAAAAATGCGTGACATTAACGATGTTTATTTTATATGAAGTAATGAACATAAAACTTTGTTTAGATCTTATTTACCAAATACTGGACATGCTTGAAATGTACACACCGATATAAACTTCATAATGTTCAATTCCTTTGTAATTCAAGAAAGTCACTATGTACGCACATTTAGTGACATAAATGTTAGCAAGAACTGTAAAGGAAATTATTCGTATAAGCATGTTAAGTATAGATGTGTAAAAGTAGCGGTTATTTGTGCATTAAAAATTTGGTGGAAATTACAGAAAACAGCAAAAATATTCGATTAATTTTTAATTATTAATTGTAAATGAGCATATAACAAAATCAATGAACTTGTCACTTATAGATAAGTATAATAAATATTATACATCTTAATGTTTTGTTTTCTATGTTTATCTTGTAATTCAATAAAATAAACAAATTTTCCTATTAATATTCGTGACAAATTTTGTTGCATTAGTTTTATTATAATATTTTATGTATATATATGTAACTTATATTTATTACTCCTTGGTGGTAATGAATATGATATAGGTGTTTGAGTTGTGTGTATTTTCATCAATCTTCACAAGATGGCATAAGATCTATTCAAGTTAACATCATTTTGAACTGTAACAGATTTGTGTAAAAGATATATTACATTCATTGATACGTTATTTTTATCATAGTATTATAAAAATGGAAAAGAAAAGTACAGTGTAATATTTATAACACAAAATTATAGATTTTTTATTTCGTATTATTTTCTTACAGTTATCTTACATTTATCTTTGTTATTATCTTACATTTCCTATTTTGTATTCTAACCTTGATTCCGATTACAAAATAATTATTTTCATTAGTCCAATGGCAAATATATCTTCAATGTTGTCAATAGGACAACAACATGACATTTGTTCTGAAGATATTACCAACAATTGTACAGACGTAAGCGTTTGCAATACTGATAATGAATGTAATATTTCAAGAACCTTGGAAGATATACAATGTTTTGTATGTGATGCAAAAATTCAAGGGCGTCATTATGCTTTGGCTACATGTAGAACGCAGATATCAAGAACTAGAGTAATAGAAAAGCTTGGAGAATTAGTTGGTGAAAGGTAGTATCTTATTATAACATTTATATGAATATAATATGCATTTCAGGCACTGTCTTAAAATACAAGTGCAATTTTGTCCTTTTCATATAATATAGATATTTGGTAGTAATATCAGAAGATGATGTAATTTGTCGCAGTTGTGCTAATCTTATTAATACACTTGATAGACTTGATGTTGAGATGTGCAATATACGTGATAATGTTTTGGGATTCTTAGAACAAAAGTATTCTTTGGAGAAAGGAGAACTTCTTGGTAATAATGATAAACAAAAGCGTTCTCAACCACCACAAATTACAAAGTGTAACACTCAAGCTACAACTAATTATCAAAGTAGGAAAGATGTTATCTTATCTTCAAATATTACTGAAAAATCCAAGCATAAAAAGAGTAATATTTGGTTGCAATGTGATAAATGTCAATATACTACTCTTCATAATTCATTTATGGTGCATCATATTAGAGACCATGTTAAGCAAAAAATATTTTGTGATAAATGTGGTGTACAATTTTATGAAAGTCAACAAGAATCACATAATTGTAATATGAAAGAACATATAAGTGATCAGACTAGAGTCCAAGATAATCAAACAGGTTTTTCATACTATTCATTTTTGATATGATAGAAATGAACTTTTTCTGTTCTCAGAAAATTGTATTCCAAATGCCTTTCAGAATCACCTTTAAAAGATATTGATGAAGCTATGTTGGATATCCCAATTTTGGAAAAAAGTGTGCAGCAAAATGTACCAATTATGACTATTGAAACATATTCAGAATCACACATTCCAAATCATAATGAAAATATTCCTATAATAAGATTATCAAATTCTGAAAATTTATCAATTCAGAATATTTTAACTGCTGGTAAGAATTTAAGATATATTTTTAATTGAAAAACATTTCATTACAAAATGTCTATAAATTATAGACAATACTACTGTAACTCAACCAATATATGTACGTATTTTACAACCTGTGGAAATTAATGAAGCTCCAACACATCCTGCAGTGATGGTATCACATTCTGATACAGATTTAGCTTTGAAACTTAAAGACAATTCAGAAAAACAAATCTTAACATTGACAGAAGATGGTAATTTGGAAATGACAGAAATAGCTTGTTGGAATGACATGCAATCATCAGAAACACAATCTAACATGATGTTTTAATAAGTTGATTTACTAAATTAGACACAGTTTTTATTTATCTATTTTTATCGACACTACAAATAACAGTTATTTACATTTGCAATAACATAAATGTTTTTTTGACTTAAACAATCAGCGTGCATTTTCAATATGTTGATTTCTTCTTTCGTTTCTTTACTACTGCTGCTTGTTTATAGATTGAAAACTACTTTATTTGTTTAGTAATTTCCAATCATCGGTTTCCTAATTCCATTTAAGATGCAGTAGCCTATATTTGTTACTTAGATACCAAATGGGAACTAAACATAAATATAAAGAATAATTACAGAAGTAAAAATGAAATATTTTGTAACATAAGATATAGAAATACATAATACATTGAATGTTTTGATATTAAAAATGTATTAAATTTACCTTAAAACCATGGGATGCTCTGTCCTCTGAGTCATCTACAACAAAATTATTTAATATTCATTTAATTTTTTTAATATAATACGACAATAATTGTTTAATAATTCTTTGTAAAATGTTTATGTTACTTATAATGTGAGCAATAGTGTCTTGAACATTGCCATGGATATGGTGTGCAACGTTGAATGCGTTTTTTATATTATCCCTCATATTATCTATTCCAAATTTTACGACATAATGGACATCATGGAAAATGCCAGAAGCAATACTTTTAACATTATTAACTGTTTGTTCAACAACATCGTTAGTGTTATTAATGATGGCACCGACAATATTTTGAGCATTATTCATTACAGTGCCTAACAGAGGTCTAGAATCTTCCGAAATATCGTAAATTATATCGCACAGATCTTCCGCAATGCGAGCATTCATATGTATAGCATTTCTCAACGTTTGTCTTGTGGTATTTCCAATATTATTGAGGACATCGTAAATTTGGTTTTCAGTTTCATTAATTGTATCATGAACAAATTCTTTGATATTGTTCAAAAGATTGTGAGCCTCTTTCCTTAACTCGGACAATGTTTTGTTCAAAATCTCAGTAGTCTTTTCTTCAATATCTTCAGCAGTATGTCTCGCTTGTGCCACAGCTTGGGCTGTTTTATTTATGAATTCCTGTACTCTTTCTTCTGTAACATTCCTCACGTGGTTTACGATGTCGGAAGTCTTTTCGTTAACGTGTTTCAAGGTATTATTTATTTTATTCTCCAGGTTGTCAAGCGCATTGGTAACATTCTTGATGATGCCCTCTACTTTGTGTTTAATGATATTCTTTGCCTTCGAGGCATCTTCTTCCAGTTTATCGAGTTTGCTATGGAGATGTTGAAAATGTTCTTGTGTTTTGTTCCTAACATCGGTAATGACTTTAGCGATCTGTTGTTCTATTTGTTCCAAAAGATGTACGGAGCCGTTTGTTACTTTTTTCAATTGATCCTCCAGCACATGTTCCACAGATCCTACAAACTTGTGCAAATCATCGACAATTTTAGAGCTTTCGTCCACAACATGGGACAAATCTTGGCTGCCACTGTTGTCATTATTACTGTGATTTTCGTCACTGCCATTATTGCTATTATTTCCTTGTGAGTTTGTTTGAGACCTGTCATTAGGCTGTAACAGTTTTTCTAATTGTTATTAGATATTTTTTACTTACTTATTTTGTTTTTTACAAGAGGTTTCTAGAAAACTGTAATCATATTTGGATATTTAAAAAAATTCTTGTTTAACAAACAATTTTTTATTACATTTCATACGATACTAGAGTAATTATAAAGAATTATATTGTTAGATAAGATGAAAATAATATATAATACTTTTAAATGTAATTAATATGAATTTTAAGTGAAATTACTACTTTAAATATTATCTAACTTCAAATTTTCTTAATATTGTTAAGCGTTATAAATCTATTCCAATTCATTATGTATAAAAATCATTAATTGATACTTACCTTAAGAGCATTTTGTACTTGGTTTAATTGATCAAGCGGAAGAGCCTGTATTAAAAGATCAAGAGAAATGTAATGGTCAGTTAACAGATAGAAGAGAGAAAATGTTCTATATAGAAATGAGTAAATGAGGAACATACGTAAGTATAATTAGAAATCATAAATTCGCATAATTATTAAGATAATCAGACACAATGATTTATTTTCAATGTAGAATGTTATAGAACGAAATATCATACGTACAAGAACAGCAGCAATGCCGAGAATGGCGAAAATTGGTAAGAACTTAAACATGATTTTCAATGATGATGCTTGTAGCAACAAACTTATCGAAAATGTATACTGTAATTTGAATATGACCGCGATTTATATATCCATCTGTATTTCTGATTAACATATGTGTCAATAAAAAATGAATTCACTGTATGAAAGCATTAACAAAGCTTGAATAGCGTCATAATATTTACTTGTTATTACAATTCATAAATTAAACACTGTGTTATCTAATTCAAACAACTCATTAACTTTCTTTTATTTGAAAATTAAGTAAACAAGATGAATATTCAACAGAAATAAATGGTCGTATGTTGATAAAAATAAAATAAAATAAAATAAAAGTAGTTTTTAAACTTTAATAAGCAGTATTGATTAAATTTTTGCATTTTTTCCTAATGCTTAACTAATATTGGATTTCAAATTTACCGCGTTATGGTTTAAATTTTCTTACTATAGTAAATAATTCGTTCAATTTAGATTGGTCATTATCGGTTAACTTCAGTCAAGATGTATTTCGATATCTATTTTTGTAAGATTTTATGAAATTAGAATTTTGTACTTTGAATGAAATTTGAATTTTGAATTATGAAATTAGATTTTAAAAAGATGTAACTGTTTTTCTTATAGATGTGGAATAAAGTGAACTTAAAATGTAAGTGTTGTATATTAACATTACAGCAAATTATAGATGTAGATATTGGCTAGTAATATTTGTCCAGCTCAGTGGTAACATTGTTATTTCAAATCTTAAATGGCTACACTAGTAAACACTGTACGTTAAAACCGTTGTACCTTGATCAGGAAAGGAATAATGTAATTATGACATAAAAATAATACAATAACGATGGAAGAATTTAATATTGATATTGTGCATGTTCTTCAGAATAGAGATTTTAGTGTGTTGCAGAAGTTAGTATCACATTGTTATGATTTTCGAGCAAAAATTGCTGCTAAAATTGAAGATACAACTGCATATGAATCTGGTATGTATATAATATATTTCTCAGCTTGATAGATCTAAATTATATTGTATTTTATTATAGATGTTTGTTCACGTATTGTATGAAATTTTAATGAATTCATAATAACTCCTCCTTTTAAACCTTTGAGTACTCATTAAAATAATCAAATGTGATAAAGAAATATCCACTATTTTATGACTTTTAATTATTGACTTATTAATAATTTTTAACACGTATATTAATAAAACTGATTAAACAATTTGACATTGAATGGCATATATATTTTTGTACAATTTTTCATTCAAGTAAGTGTTCTTAATGTTAATAATATATGTATATTGTGTTTTTAGAATGTATAGAGAAAATAGCACAAAGCGGTAACAAAATATTAGAGTTAGAGCAAGAAGTTGAAAGTTTAAAATCTGATATAGATACAACAAAATTGCAACAAAAAATTATAGATAAAAAGATTACTAATTCAATTAAACAGCAAGAAAAATTAGAAGATGAAGTTAATAATGCCAAAGTAAAAAGAGACAGCTTGTCTGTTGAAATTGTTGATTTACGCGAAGGTATTTATTATAAATATATAAACATATTATAAATATAATTTTTTATCAGAAATCTATAGAACATTATTTTTAGAATCAGAACAAAGAAAAGAACAGAAATTATTAACTTGGAAAAGTATTAAACTTGCTTGTCACACATATAAACAGCATTTGGGCTTTCATATAGAATTAATCAATAACAAAGAACAAGAACAAATTAAAGTTTCCTTTTTTATAAATAACACTAATGCAAAGGATAAATACTTCGTACAATTACTTAATTGTAATAATCAGTGGAGAGGTATGTGTAGTATCCATTTGTAAGTATTCCAAATATATTATTTGATATGATACGATATGAATGTATGAATAACTATGTCTTCTAGTGGAACAGATTCAACCTACTCTTAAAGCAGAACATTTGAGTAACTTTGAAGGAATTATTGACTTTTCTAAACAATCAGAAGTTTTGGATGTAACTGCACTTCTTTGTAAGCTCAGAGAAACATTTGTTAAGTATTACTAAAAACAAAATAAAATTGAAACCTTATATATATATATATACATAGGTACGGATAAATTTATAACATTGATGCTATTTATTATAAGATTAAAGCCTTTATTAATAAAAATTAATAACTGAATTGTCTTATTACATATGAAAAATTTGCAACACTATACATAGCAAAACTTAACATTGGTATAATTTTATTAAAATATATTCATTATTAGTATAAGTATCTGTGGTATTGTTACATACATATGTTGTGACACGTATCTTAATGTACTATTTGCCTACAGCTCAGATTGGAAACAGTAAACTGCTAATCACAGTGTAGATAAATTATTTAGATACTAAAATTATAAAGAAGTTTCCACTTGATTTCTATTTATATATGGCACTTATATATATGATACATTTGAAATTATCTATTCCATGAGTGGTTAAGTTTATTTAAAATTGTTAATTTTACTAAATTGTAAATATATATTTATTTATCTAGTTATCAACGATCTGTTATAAATATTATCTAATACTCGATCATTTAATTTTTACCTCTTGCCGTCTCTAAAATTCTCTTATTTAAAAAATATTTTATTATTAAATTATTTCGATTTCAAGTCCTAGCTATTGAAGCTAGCAGTCGATATTAACAACTGTTTTCTTGTCGATATGTTAAAAACTCGTTTCTATGCAACAGACAAAATCAAATTATATTTCGTATAAAACCTATTGATCATTTCAAAACAATAGAGACGAACATATGACATTATGAATAAACCTTTAACGATATTATTGTTTTGTTTATACTGGAAAAAATTCTGAAATTTTCAATTTTTCATGATTTTGTTTTTATTTGAATATACAATTATGCGTTGGACCGTTAAATCGCATCAGAATTAGTGTTCAAACGATATAGATCGATTGAAATTTGTTGAATTCAATTTTTTCACCACTCGTCCGGAAAATTAAATTTTTCACTATTTAATGTATTTTACATTCAATTTTGATGTTAACATAGCTACTTACGGGATATTTACGCGTCTTACTCGTACATGGAAAGGGCCAATTTATTATGTATGCGTAGAAGCACGTTGATAACAATTCATCCCTATTGGCAAGAGTTAACGAGAGAGTCAATTGATCGCCCACTGCCAATCAGCCCATATCGCGTACACAACGTCAGTTAACAGATTTCACTTACACTATTGACCCGCCCGATCGTTCATTTACTCGGTCATTCAGGAATTTAATTAAAGATCGAAACGTTGACGATGGGAATCGATGCATTACTATGATGTACACTAGCCGTATTCACGTTGTCTGTGTCCGATCGGGTTCGATACGATTAATGCCTAGCAAATCTCTGTTTATTATATTTAATTAAAAATTTCATATTTTTGCTTAACAGAAAATAAATATTCAATTATTATACTGAATGCGTCAACGAAGAATCTACGTATTATCTTACACAATGTAATGGCATACTAGATATTACTCGTATCAACCGATGTTATTAATGAATAATCTAAGGCAATGGGAGCACGAAAAATCATGATACACGATACATCGCATAAGCGTTACGGATAATACTTTGAAGTATGAATGATTAAATGATGATGGTTTCGAGCTCGATTAAAAGGTAATTTAATTAATCGATCCCGAAAGCTTGGTGTGTGTGTGTGTGTGTGTATATATATATATATATACACACATGTATATAATATATTATATATATATATAAATTATATATATATATATAATTATTTCAAGATATTAATACAATAAAAGAAGTAGACGAAAATCCTAAATAATACGACGCAAATTGGAATTTGAAATGGACGCTCGAAGAATCGCCTAACTCTATCGCAAACAAGGTGCATGGTATTAAAGAAGTAACGGAATTAATGACTATTTACAGCGTAATAATGTCACCTATTATAAAACAGAAACTTAAACAAGTTGTTTCTGGACCTCGACTTAGACAAAGGTGATATTCATCGACTCTTTCAGCTTACGCTCGCGTGAGTATATAATCTTCTTTTTTTTTTTTCTTTTCTTTTTTGCTTTTCTTGGACACGTTGGAGTTCGTTTTCGAGTCTTCGTGCTCCACTGTTTCACGTAGCTAACACTAAAATGTGGGAAATCGTTCCGTTCTGATAAAAGGAAACATACCTCTCATGATATGTGTTGGAAACTCGCTAAAATAAATATATATCTCTCGTTACGTAATAATTACTACAGCAAATGCAGTACACATCTATCGATTAGACCGACGTCTGATCGTGAACGGTTGTCAGCTGTCGATTATGGGATTAGTCGCGTACGACGTATAAGATGTCTCGTCAGTGTTGGTGATTTCCTTGAATGTGTGTGAGTATGTATGCGTATATATTTATATGTGTGTGTGTGTGTGTGTTTTATCCTATTATTATTATACAATGCTTTTTTTTTTATTTGGATGCTTCCAAGAAATACACGCAAGCGGATTAGATTAAACGAACTAAAACGCCCGTGTCGAACTTGAAAGCGAGGCTATACCAAGATTCACACCGCCCGTTTCTTTACACTTCTGTTTTATCACAATGATCAATAGAACGGGCTTTTCAACGTCACCGTGTCCATCTCACGTATGTCTATCATCGTTTGCATTACATGTGTAAACGGGCGACCACGAATCGAATAAATTCTTCCTCTCGACCGTTTCTTCGTTCTTCTTCTTCGTTTCCGTTCGAACTTTCTTTTGCCCATCGATCGCGTCCTACGATTCTCATTCTACTTCTAATGGACTACTCGAGGGTCGCGGCGAAAGAAACATTTCCTCCGGAAGCAGCCGCGGCGGCGGCCAATAACAGCGTCGGTGGTAACGGCGGAAGCGGCGATGTTTGCTCGGTGGGAGTTGCAACGGTCGTTGGACAATTATTGGCCACACCATAGACTTTCGCGTGATTGACTTCGAAAGCCACGGTCAAGTCTGCTAGTCCAGGATCGCACAACACCGGATTATCTGCAAGCAAAAAAACATCGGAAGATCGCAAAGGGGAAACTCCTCTCTTTTTTATTCTGTGACGTGTATCAAAGGCAGATAAGCAAGAAGTTAGATAGGCGTCTGGCTGGCATGCGTGAGTGAACACACTTTCCAAGCAGTAAAAGTCGTACAACTATGACATCACGATTAGCGATGTGCTCTAAGACACATTTTATGTGGCGAATTACACGTACGATTACATGAAAAATTCTTATAACTTAATTCTTAAATAGGTAGATTTGGTAGGTTCTACAGTCTTGGAAGGGTGTTGTTCGATATACTATTTTTACAAATTTTATATTTTTAATATTTCATATGGGATATCGTAATAAATGAAGATTATGAAAGTTATCGAAACTTTCAAGACATTCGAGACCTATAGGATTTTCAAGAAGATCAAATATCGAATCACATTCGAAGTAATTTGAAAAACATCGAATCTCTCTTAAGTTAACACTATCACGTTCGGTGGCACCAACGTGTTGACAAGTGCAGGCCAAATGTTAGTGTCCGGTGACATCACGTTCGTGTCACGTGCAAGTCGACCCTTTACGTAAACTTTACGATAGTTTAGTATGCTTTTATCAAAAAATGCCGGTTACTTGTTAAAGTGTTATGGACGGCAAAGTGTTATGATTTAAATACCCATCGCTGATCATCAGATCAGTTTCTCAAAGTCTAGCAAAAAAACTTTTGCAGACGGATTGTTGACTAAGATATAGAAAATGTTTGCTTGCATCTCGATGACCGAGTTCGTATCGGTCGCGAAAGTCTTCGTAAACATATGATCGTGTGTCGCGAATCCGATAATAATGACAGGGGGCAACGGAATTGTCGTTAATCGGAGATTTTCATATGTAGAGGGAATAGTCGTTCAATGAAAGTGTGAACGAAAAGAGAGACCGAGAAATAACGAAGCTAACCGAGATAACAGGATTGAACGACGATAACCGTACCATGAAAACCCACATATATTTAACAATAACAACAGCTAACAATCCGTCTTCGGTATACAATAAATAATACGAGATGGCGCCACGACGGAGGTTATCACCATGAAATGTAACTTATAACAAAATAATGTACAGCTCTGAAGCCGAACGGAGCCACGCTATTATCAAGTAATAATTTATTTTCTGCCGCCACCGGCCATTCTCATGACCCGTTCCCTCTTTCTGTCTCGTTTCATCTTCCATAACGCTTGGCCTCGCGACACTTAACGATGTATTTATTAATTACGCACTGGCGCCCATTCAACGCGTCTGCGTTCCACAAAGACGTTATCCTTTTGCGAGGGTGGAAAGCAAAATCGAATGACCGTTCGTATCGTACGATCGGATGACTCGTCGTTGCACGAACCAGACGATTACGCGTATTTGCGCATAACGGTTATTAATAAGAAATTCATGTTATATTACATTATATTGTTTCTTTTTTTTTTGGTTTCGAGCTTTTAACTAGATCACCAGTGTTTATACGAATTTGCTTATATTTTTGAGATAGGTAAATCGGGATTTGTCTTATCCTCCAGGAGATGTTATAAAATTCAACTATATACGAAGACAACCGAAAAAACGAAAGAAGGAATTGTTTCATCTGTTAAATATTATAACGAATACTCTACTTTAGATGTCTTTTGCATATTTTATGTGCATTCTGTAAATTCCTACATCTCCAACTTTTCCACGAATAAAATAAATAAAAATCTGCAGTCTAGTTATAAGTTATAACATAGTATTACATCTTGTTATAACATTTACCGGATACTGTATCTTAAGTATATTATGTGCACTCTATATGTTTTCATGCAATAAAATTTTCCATAAGTGCATAAACATCCATAATCTTCTCATGATATGTCTATAATTTTTCGAATTTTACAGATTATACCATCTTTGTTGATCTGTCGGCGGAATTATGTATTTTGTATCTTTGCCTCAGAGATTAAAATAGAATGAAAATCTTCAACTTTGTTCAATGAGATCTTCATTTTAATCGGAACTAGAAATATTTTATTAGACATATTTCGCGAAGAATGATCATTAACAGATACATCATTCTTTTCATCAAAGTTCATATCCCTAAATGGTGCGTTTGTAAAATCAAAAATACCTGTGTTTATCCATTTTGCTCTTTGCGCAATCTAGAAAATTCTGGTCTTTTATCTACTGTTGTTCGCGCTTCATTAAAGAAACGGCGCACTGATCTTTCATTAAATGAAGTTTCGCCTTTAACCTTATCATCGATTGGAAATATTAGATTAAGTAGGAAATAGTTCGCGTGGTTTTGTGTTACGAATAAATTCTGATCGAAGTCATAATATTTCGCAAAGAAGAAAAAAAGTATGACAATTGCGGTGTCATTACAATCCCCATGTAATCGGCATACATTAGTTTAAGGCTTAAACTCAAATATTCATTGATAATTACAATTTTCTCTTAAGTTGTCCAAACTGTTGATGCAAATATTTTTTACAGGCAAGGACAATATACTTTCTTTACTCGTCAGAAAAGCTCTTCCGTATTCTCCTTACAGTTAAAATTTCCTTGTGACTATTACTCGTTTTTATCCGTGATAAATTATTTTGTAAATAAATATTGGTTACAAATAAATCGTATCGTTAATCGAAACTATTAAATGCCAAATTAGATGCAACTAAAACGCTTTTATATTAACTGGATGTGTAAGATTATAGAATTTTCAAGAAAAATTCACACTACTTGAATTTTTTCCTATTAATCTGCACAAATATTTTTGTACCTATTTAGTAATTTGTTTGAATTAAGCATATCGAGGCAATAGATCGAGGAAATTAGTGCAAATTTGCTCAAGCTTGAACGATGGCATAATATTCGATAACACTGATAACGGATACGTTTAATCTTACCTTGAAGATATATGCGAAGCACGTCAGGCACACCGTGAACGGTGCAACGTGTGTTCGCCACGAGTTCCGGCATCAGAGTACGTATCCGATTCGCGCTCACATCTGCCCAGCAGAGAACAGGAAATCCACGGAAGTCTCTCTCGGACAATGTTACCAGACGATTGTGCGATGCGTTTAATTCCTCCAGGGAAGGAAGCCACGTCTATAAAAAAATCATCATCGAAAGATATTGTGATGAACAAAGATTTTTCCCGAGGTATTATTACAAGATATGTTTAATTTGTTTGGAATACATATATCAAAAATTGAAGATATAAATAAATTATTTTTGTGCAAAGATTGTTTGATCGAAAGAGAAAAATCATGTTCTAAATAACATCCTTATAAAATAAAATATAAATAATCTTTATAAACGAACATTGAAAAGAAAGAATATTATACTTTTTTCATTATAACATGACAATATTGATGGAAGTGATTTTAGTGTTCGTTGTAAAAGGAAAAATGATATCGGAACTACAGATATTTTATATCTTTAATAATAACCTTTTGAAGGTTTCTAATAAATATAGATTCAAAAATATTTGGGAAGATTTTTTTAAATAGAATTTGATATTTTCTTAATTATAGTGTGATATTATCGATGGAGGTGATTTCCATAGTTTTTAATTAAAGATCATTCGCGAGTTTTATTTTACCATATATTTTATGGAAAATACTTTCTTACGTCTTTAATGGCTCGATATTCTCGTATCTAAACGAATCAGATAGACGTAAAATCTTCACGGTAGAATGATCATTCGATTAAACACGACATACGTTTGAATAAATTTCACGCATATTATACCTCTGACGTATCTTCGAGTGTAGTAAGCTCGTTGTGAGAGAGATCGAGGACTTTGAGACCATCGAGGCCTCGTAGATCACGCTGTCCAATCGTCGGTCCTAAAGCGTTGTAACTGAGATTCAGCTTCTGTAATTCCTTCATTCCAAGGAATAACGAGCCGTCCAAGCTTCGAAGCTCGTTGTGCTGCAGTTGCATATCTTGAATATTTCCGCCCGCCGTTTCTTCCCCTTCCTCTTCTACTAAATTCTGTAAATATAAGAGGAACGAACTTCTTCTACTAAGTTCTGTAAATATAAGAGAAACGATCTTCTTCTACTAAATTCTGTAAATATAAGAGGTACAAACTTCTCTTACATATTCAAATGATTGAATACTTTGAAATACGACTTTAAAAATACTCATTTGAATTTAAAAATATGTATTATTTGCGATGTAATCTTATATAAGAGTACCTTTTTTTATTCATTTGAGCATGACGTATTTGCATACATGATCAATGAGAACTATCAATGTACACTTGAACAAATTAAAATATTTATGTAAAATTATAATTTCCTTGGAAGGAATAAAATATTTAACTAGCGATATAACATGTAAACATCTTCATAAGCAAAAAATTAATTCTATAATATAAACAATTTTTTATCTTAATGTAGAATATCAAAAATCGTTGAATGTTCCTCTATATAAAAATGTACATATACTTTAGGTTTTGCAATAGTTCATTGCGTATGTGGTAGAAGTAAATTAGTCCGGATATTAGGTGCGTACCTCTGACGGCGTTCTTCCTCTGTGGAGTCGCGCGATTCTGTTGTTCGAGAGATCGAGCAATCGTAGCTCGCGCAGGCCACGAAGTGACGCGAATGAGAACTCGCGAAGCTCGTTGTGCGTCAAGTTTAAACACTTGAGAGACCTGAGAGGGTAAAGGACACTGTTGCCCCCGTTTCCGTCGCCATTACCATTACCCGCGCTACCCAACGATTTTAAGGAATTGTGTCCGAGCTCTAGATCTTCTAACATCTCTGCTTCTAGGAAATCTTCTTCCGTTAACTAAGAACAAAGATTTTGATGATATTTCATATTATCTGTCTATTAAAAGTATCGTTAATTACTACATTCTCTTTGTTGGATATAATATTAATTATTTCACTGTATCAGTTTAATAGACGAAACAGGTTTCCTCTAAAATAATATGGTCGACTTTAATTCGTGAAACAACAAGTAACAGCTAAGAGTGAAACCTTTGCGGACGATTCAAGAAGTCGATCAAATCGTCCAATTACGACTAAGACCATCGCATGCTAACCGTCCATCGTAATAAAAATTTAATCCGCGAAACGGAAGCGTACGACATAATAATCACATTAGGATGTAGTAATCGACTTAATGTACGGAACATTGAACGAACGCCTCCACGCGTTATCATACATCGTGATCATGCACTTGCACTTCATACGAGTATCTGAATGTTGTACAGGCCACCGTTACGTAGATATCAGCACATCATATTTGCAGATGATATTTAATAAAGTATTTTGAATCGTTTCAATAAACCGAAATAAAACTAACTATTACACGATGTTCTGGGTCGGATCAAAACGTGCATTCTTTACATTTTTAGAAGGGAGGACAATCTAAAGTATTGGTAATCTTGTATATTGAATAATTCTCTTCTATTAAGTAAGAAAGTTAGTTATTTGTTATTTGTTATATTCGATCATCGATTACCTCTTGCAGATCGTTGTACGAAAGTTCGAGAAACTTCAATCTACGAGCCTTTTGCAGCGTGCCATCGAGACTGCGAATCTTATTGTGCTGAAGATAGAGACTTTCTAAACGATGTAAGTAGCGAAATTCTGCTGGCAAGTGAGTTAATTTATTGTCCACGGCGTAGAGCATCTTCAGGTTATGGCCAGAAGACGGTAGCTCGCCATCTAAAGACGTGAGCTCGTTGGCGTTAATTAGCAACCACTCCAACTGATTCAAATCTCTGAAACAAGATTAAGTCATGTGGATGGCGACGATGCTCTCGTTCCGATAAAATCCAAAAAGAACAAATCTTTGCTTGTTTCATCGAATGAACGAACCAAAAATTTCTTCGTTTTTCTTCTATACTTCTGTTTCCTCTTTTATTTTCTCTTTCTTTTTTATGGACCCAATTTAAATTTCACAAAAGAGAAAAGAAAAGGAAAGAAACGGTTCTCGAACACGTGACTAGATCGCAAGCTTAATTGTTCTCTCCTTTGCATATAATCTGCGTGCACGTTTGCTTAATCATTCGGCCGAGTCCGAGGAGCTGCTCGTTGCATCAACGATGAATAGAGCCAATTAAGTAAGAGTCACTGTTGGAATGGTAAACAGGATGTCCGATACGTTCTAGGAGGTTCGTGAATGGACGTATATTTTCGGTAATCAAGAAAGTGTCTTACCGTAACGTTCGATTCAGGCTTTGTAACTGATTGCGGCCAACGTGTAGGTGCTTCACTAATGGTGGCAACGAGCCTGGCACCATTTCTGAAATCGCATTTCCGGCCAACAGGAGATGCTGTAATGTCGGGTTGTACTGAAAATGATAAGGTAAAATGTGCATTTTAAGAATACATGTGTTAAAACAATAGAAATTACGTAGGTTTAAGCTATATTTACATGTGCATTATCTTATATAAAATAAATTCATCGTTTAGTTTAGATAAAAAAAAAAAAAAAAAAAAAAAAAAAAAAAAAAAAAAAAAAGAGAAAGAAAAATGTAAAAGGAAGAAGGAAATAGAAATGAAACAGCGATTTAAAGAGATTGTATTCAGCAGCGTCGACAAACGTGATTAAATACGAGAACGCGCAACGTTTAATCAAGAGTGACGGCTACACGATAAGTATTCACGGATTACATACTGAAGCAACATTGTTAAACAGCAAGAATTTTTTGAATCATGCTAGACGTTCATGTTCCAATGAGAATCCGAGATGTTTGCGATCCGCGTTTACTGAAACCAATTGATCCGAATCAACAGCTGTTTACAACAGTCACGCGATAAACATTTTTCTCCGATAATTCATCACATAGACGGTATTGTTACATCAAACTTGCCCGTTTTTCCCTTGTTTACATATATACGATATAATATTACAATATTTAATTTACTAGAAAGCGTATGAGTAAGCGTCGTTTCAAACGTATTTTATTTCTAGTTACTTCGGAATAGACACTTGCAATTAGTACATATTAATTCGTTTCTTAACCATGCAATTAAAATTTTACGATACGAGTGTTAACCCTGCTGTGAACTTCGAACTTAAGATTCGATCGAAAATGAATCAAAGAGCGCCGGAGGGTTAATCTCTCGTAGAGTTAGTTAATCCACTATTTAAATATACATAACTGATTCTGTTTTATCAACGAGTATCTCGTCTAAGCAACTGAAACTGTCTCTTTGACATGGGATATTTGCAATTACCGACCTATTTCATAAAATCGCGAAACAGAGTGAGATTGAAAAAAAGTATGTGTACAAGATTTTTGCATATTTCTATTGTTCTTTAACTTGCAAATCGTGTGATAAGTAACACGAGGCAATGATAAAAAAAAAAAAAGAAAAATATATATATCCCCATAAGTAGCACGAATCGTTTGAGGAACGATTGGCGGACAATTCTCTGCACGTGGCCGGTCACGTGCGCGACAAGCGCCAGGGGAACCCCACCAAGCTCTCTACTAGCTGTCTTCCTCTCTTCGAGATGAATTGTTCGTTCATACGTCGCGCCGGCTACAAATACATCGTGAAGTCACGCGTAATATGCAAAACGTGCTTAGAATATATTGTCCTTACGGTGTGTTGATTTAATAGACATGATTGATATAGCAGTAAAAAGAAAAAGAAAAAGAAAACAAAGTAGTATAGAAAAATAAGCGAACGAAACTGTAAAATAGATGTTTAATAGGATGCTTTACGTATAACTTCACGTAAATAATCCACGCGCCAGTCTCAAACGATTTCCACATAATTTATTTATTCGTTTCATTGAATCACATTAGAGTACTATGTAACAGTATACGTAAAAGTTTCATTGTAAACAGGAATCGTAAGAGATGAATATGCAAAACATTGGATACTATTCGTTGCAAATAAGATCAGATTTATCCAATTCGATAAATGAAATATCTGAACAGGATTCGGTGTTAACACGGTCAACAGAGGTTACATCAAATCTTGTAAACTGTTCGTCATTTAATGATGCGCTTATGTTCTTCCTGTTTATAAACTGCTTCATACAATCGATGCTAAATACCATTGCTGATGAACCCGTTTTCTTTTTTTCGTTTACTTTTTCTTATACACGTGGCAGTATATTTGCATAAAACACTGGGAAAATAAGAGATGCATATAAACGAAGCTTCGTGTTTACGCACTACGATCGATATGTTAGGGGATCGTATCCACGTGTTTAGTATTCTCGCGTAAATCGTTAGAAGACACTTTGCGATAAATGATTCAAACTTCTCGCGCATTCGTGAGTTGCACAAGAAATACAAGCTTCGATTCCTGAACACGTGTCCCGACATAGTATGTACATATTCACTCGCGAGGAAGAAAACTAATAAATGATGCAAACAGATTCTTATGAGTACGCATGCATACCTTAAAGTCATCCGAGTCTATACGGCTTATCCGATTTCTGCTGAGATCTAGGGTCCTCAGCAATGAGAGATGCGACAGAATATGTCTCGGTATAGATGGTACTTCGTTATCCGCGAGACTAAGATATTGCGTTCTTCCCAACCCCGCGAAAACTTCGCCGTCTACGAACCTACAAAATATGAAGTCGCTTTTTAATTCTATTATTCGAGCATAGGTCCATTACAAATTAAGATCTTTACTTTTATAATTAAGATGTTGAAGATATTTCGCGACGGATTTTTCGTGAGATGTAAATAAGAAAATTAAACAATTTAAGAAATACACATCACTTTGGAATTAAATCGAGCGAAATGAAAATTCGATCAATTTGCAGATTATTTATTTAAGCGAAAAAAAAACATTCATTGTTTTCGTTCAACAGTACAAACATTTGCTTGACATGTCTCATATGACATGTCACATATCTCAAGATAATTAAGATCGCTCGGGACGATGTTTGAATATGAAAAAGAGGTGATACATCTTGTTGCCCTCGAGAAATTTGGAATGTCATCTCACGATAGTGCGTTATCTCCGTACGAAGACGACCAAAAACTGAGTAACCTGTGGCCCTTGTAAACACATGGCTAGCAAGCAATACACAATCAATCCTCAATTATCTCGAGTGAAACGAAGTTATCGCTTATTGTCCTAGTCACGAACCAACGAAGTGGGTCTAAATCTTTCCGTGATAGTCGAGTTAAGGGCAGGAAGAATTAACTTACGACTTATATCAAGTACAAAGTGTAAAAGTTCTTATAACTGGAACCGTTTCGTCGTTCTTATCTCCACTAATTTCTATTATAAGTGACGTAGAACTGAAACTTACATTTTCCTCGTGTTATACAATTTTTCCACGTTACGTATCATCACTTTCATGAAACTCCGATAAAATAAATTAGAATTAAAATTGTTTGTAATATTAATTTCATTTTTCACTCATATTTCGAAAATATCATTTATATGATAAAAAGAAATGCATCAGTTCATTTAAAAACCTATTGTAGGGAAAATTTTGTCAATTAAAGCTAAAGATGGACTGTCTCTCGGTTGCCTCCATTTTATAGAAGTTCCTTTTTCTTCTTTCTCTTTTCTCATGCAACTTGTATAGTCGTGTCTCTAGAGTTGCGCAAATCTTTATCGAAGTAGGCGAGTTTACAAAGAGTGGACCAATGAAATTGTTCAATTGTAAAACATAGGCGAAACACGGTCATTATCGTTTAATTATTCACATAATGTTGGCTCACAGCATTTCGTTATTTAATTATTCCGAGACGATAAGCGGAGGGCTTCTTGTTGATAACTCGTTCGAAAAGGTCGGGCACGATTAAGATTTCATTCTCGTGCCCGTAGCTCTGCCTCTTTTTCTATCTTTCGCGGGTAACGACGACGCATTCTCGATGATTGTTCGTCCGTCAAGGACTTTCGTCTTCTCTCATCTGGCAAGTATCACCGTGTATCAGGATAATCAAGGAAGACCAGTGTCCGTCCTTTGTGCCCGTTCGAGAAAACAAAACGACGATATTTATCTAGAAACGAGGAAATTCTCGCGATTCTTGATACGTTTATCCTTAATCGGTAAATTTGTAATTAACGATCGATCAAGCTTCATCTACCATATTAACGCATGAATTCATATCTTTTTTTTCCCCGATAAAGCAATTATTTTTTCAAGGATCTTCAACAAAGGCTCGAATGTTACCTTCGCCTTTTATAGTCGTTTTATTATTTCGTCGTTTTGTCGATCGTAATAAAAGTTGTTGCATTCGTTCCGCACAATGTGGCACTTTCTAGATGTTCAAAATTTTGTCTCTCGTTCCACTATCGTCGTATTATTTAATATTCTATCTGAGCAGCCGTGTAAAAATATATAAAAGCAACTAATATCTTCCGAAGATAAACGAGGACAGAGATTATAGTAATTACTCCAGATACATTCCAGCAATGTACACGTACATTAGAATCAATGTATTATAAATTGAAGGACACTGCTGTTACTCTACACGCTTATCTGGAAACGCATCATTTTCCACAACACACTTTGTATCCGTTTCTTTAAACGGCTCAAAAAGGTTTTTGCCATCGAACATTACGGTATAATTGTCAGTTTGAAAAATAATTTTATCAATTAGAATTTCTTCTTTGTTACGTATAAATGTCTTTACTCAATACTTGCAACATCAGACGATGACCTTTTGCCAAGATATTGTTATTCGTATCGACAATGTATACGATGTATTCACACGCATGCTTTTCTACAAGTTCTGAATGACAATCATTTGCGTACAAATACTTGTCATAAATTTCTTTTCGTCTTTTCTATTACACATGCTGCTCCAAATTTCTTCTTCTACAGTCTGTTCGTATTTCGTACCTTACGAAAGTTCTGACAACATTTCGTCAGTGATTGAGGAACTTTATGGTCAGACAAGCGAAGTATAGTCAGACAACGCATAGTTAAACATGAATGCGTAAAGCCTGCATTATAATAACGATTCGAATCTTCTTATTAATTAATTTCGTTAAATAAAGTTTTCTTCTCAAAAATCAGTAATAATTAAATATTATAATGCTTTGAATATATGTCATTCTGTCAGCTAGAACCTCCACTGTGAATTTTTAGAAAAATCGATTTTCACGGAAGAAATATTCCAACAAAAGCCAAACTGCGCAGATAAATAAATTGGTTTAAGTAATGTCCAGAAGAAATAGTGGAAAAATTCAGAAACTCGATCGTAGCTCGATCACTGTACCCGCGTAGTTAGAGTAAACGTGGCTGATATCACTTATCCACAAGTCATTATCGTCGTCACACGATTTTCTTCATCAACATTTTGGTGAAAACCCATGGAATTTTCATGAGATATGAGAGGAAAATTTCTTGAAACCGGAAACTCGATACCGAGTTCATTCTTATCACAAACATCGGTACTTTGTTTCAAACTGAGGAAACCAAGCTATGCTTGCTTCTGAAAGGAAAATCCCTAAAGTCCTGCACGGATAAAAGAAACACAAACACGCGATTCCTGACCTAACTAATTAGATCAAGAAAAGATAATCGAATAATTATGAATAATTAAAAAGAGACACATTACACGCACGATATTTATATACACATCAAGATAACGATTTCTTTGCAAAGAAAGAAGAAATTAAACTAAACATCTACGATATTAAACAATCCCGATTTTATGCACGTAAACTTACACACTCACCCTAGACGATCGTGATTCAGCTCGAGCTTCGTAATGGACATCCGCAGCTCTTTGAAATCATGCCGCGATATATCCCTGAGATTTGAATGAGAAACACGCAAAGTAATCTGTTGCTCGGTGGTGAATTTGCCCCTTAATGCCCCTGCCACTTGTTCGAAAGAGTCCATCCGTTCGCATACGACCTCGATCCGTTCCCCGTGTCCATGGTGACCGGCATTGTTACCGGTCGTAGCAGCAGCCGCGGCGGCTA